TTCAAGCGGCCACTATTTTAAGCTTGAGTATACATATCCACAATTAATACCTGTGCAAAATTTGCGATATTTTTAGTACTAAATTATTTATTACGAAAAAAAAAATAGTTGTATACGTTTATAAATTTTATGCCTGAATTCGTTACTTTTGATATTAAGTCACATCCCTTTTAGTAACTTTCTTTTTAGCTAATGTTAACTTGTTTCACTTGCTTACCTCGCTTCTAACTATTTACCTTCTGCATTGCAGTATTCACATATTTATCTAGATTAAGTACTAATTTTTTATTTGCCGCTGCAAGTCAGTCCGCCATTGTTGCTTTGCTGATGATGCAATTGACTGCAGTGTTGCCAACACAGTTACAATAAAAAAGCGAGTTGCTGGCACATAGTGTTTGCCTGGTCCACTTGGCGGCAGCACCGACCTACATACAAAGTTATAATAAATGGCTAGCCATTCCCAGCACACACTTTACAGCCATGCAGCCACGAACGTGTGATAAAAATGAGGGTAGGCAAATAAAGAGAAGAGCTCTTGTGCATACAAGCATATAATATTACTCGGACTTGTGTATGGGTCGGGTTTCGTGTGCTTGCGTCGCAAAAAATGTGTTTAAAAATACACTCTGATGCCAATTGAACGTTATTTTATGCAGTAAAAAATTTCCTAAAACTCTTTTTTGGTGTTTTCTGTTTGAAATATATTTTTAATTCTAAAAAGCTACACATTTTGTGTAAATAGTAGAAATAATATCTCTAATGAGTACTAAAAATAGTACTAAACGCTTTGGGGATAATTTCATTACTTGAACTTCTGTATATTTTGATATATTGTTGAATACATTGATATCAGCACATTTTAGTACTGAAAGTTGAGTACTAAAATAGTACTAAAATTTTTGGGACTATTAGGTTTGGGACTATATTCATGTCAGCACAATATTGATAGCATGCTAAATTTATTTATAACATTTTTCGGAACTAGAATCTGAGTACTAAAAATAGTACGAGAAATATTGACGCGTTTACTTCAAAGTACTAAAAGTAGTACTAATTATTTGGAGCTGTTTAGTTAAGACTATGTTAGGCTTAATTTATTTAGAACCTTTTTTGGAACTAAAATCTGAGTAGTAAATAAATACTAAATTCTTTCGAGAAGTTTAGTTCAGGCGTAGATCTGTATATGTACTCTTCCAGCCTTTTCAGTTTAGCAATTTTTAGTACTAAAATCTGTGTACTAAAAAATACTAAACAATTTTAAAAAGTATTTTTTGCCAAAAAACCTTTTTTTTTGTTTATATTACAAGCTATTTTATAATGTTTAGTACTTGGTTATGGATATTTTTTGAAAAATCACATTTTTACACTGAGTTGCCTTGTTCACTTCTGCTTACATATTTATAATGAGCGCATAACGGAGTGTTTGTATGTGTAAGTAAGCTATGCAATTACGTCTGCTCTACACACACTGCCTGCAGTGAACTGTGCTTTAATTTTTCAACTCTCTTACCATTTTTCATGCTCGCTTGCGCACAATTACGCTGCCAACTAACGGCACATTAGCAGCAGCAATATTATAAGCGCACTTTCGTATAAATACACATACACAGCATACATTAGTCAAAGTGCAGTTGGCTGCCGGCACTATAACGCTTTTTTACTTTTATACATTTCTGTATGTGTGTTGTTGTTGTTGTAGTTGAATGCATTAGGGCTCATTATGTTGCAAATGTCGCGTAGTTAACGTGTTTTTCTTTCGGTTTCTTCTTATTTTGCTGAATGAATGTGCGCCAGACATGGCCCGAGCACAACAGTTATATAAAAAATGCATATTACAACAGGGTCTGCCATTTATTTTCGCACACATGTGCGCTATACGCCCACACACCGACTCGAGCAACCGATATTTAAGCTGCTATGTTTTTACGTTTCTACTTCTACCCTTTTGTTTTGCACGTTTTAATTGTGCTTACCTTTCATAATGTACGAAATGTATGTATGTGTGTGTGTGTGCATGTTGTGCGCTGTTATTTTTAATTCGTTAACGTGTTGCATATTTGCTTTGCTTTGTTTTCGCTTTGACGCAAACGGCTAGGTTGGCAAGCGCGCCTGCAGGTAGACAATGCGCTTCAGCAGCGTGCGCTGTTAAGCTGCTTTTATAATTAATGTCATCACTATTTATTCCTTTTGCCTTCACATGCTGACCGCCTTGCAGTTGATTTAAGGCAATAGACGTCAATTTAGCATAAAATATTACTCATACGTCATGGCGGCTTGGTATTGCGCTGCTTACAGTTAGCAAGTAAATGTGGTACATTCATGTTGTGAATGGCATTTGTGCTATTTCTGTTGCAAAACATGCTTTGCTAGGGATATTTCAATGCCATATGCGTCAAAATGTTGCGCATACGTCACGGTGTACGTGAGTTTATGGATATGGGAAGGTTGTTGTTTGTATAAACATTATTAACATTGTTGGGTTGTACATGTTAAAATTAAATTTTTGGAAGCTATGGAGCGTCGAGATTAAAAAAATATAAGTTTTTTTGTAATTTTTCGAAGTTTTTTGTATTATTTGATTTAGAGCTTTTAATTAATTTGAAGATTTGGAAAACAATTCTTAAATTTTTTGTTAGTGTAATAGTTTTATTGCTATTTATGAAGCTTCAATTTGAAATTTTAAAATATTAAATTGAAATTTGTACTTTCGAAATAATAATAACTTAATTAATTTTTTAATATTTTAAAA